CTCAAGACAATTGCTCTTAAGAGTTAGGATTCCTGATGAGGAGAAGGAAAAAAATGATAAGTTATTAGATAAGAAGACTATAAGGAAAAGCAACTACCCACCCTTACAGAAAGGCTGAGCCAGATAAAGAGGAAAAGAATAGACATATCTATATATCTAGTTCCTATTAGGTGCCAGGCAATGTGCTAAATGTTTTACAAATATTATTTCATTTGATCCTCACAACAACCCTGGGGCTTAGGTGCTGTTATTATCCCCATTTAACAATTGAGGAAACTGAGGCAGACAGAGATTAAGTGACTTGCCCAGGGTTACACAGCTAGTAAGTGTCTGAGGTTGGATTGAACTCAGGTATTCCTGACTCCAGGTCAAGCTTTCTGTCCATTGTGCTGCCTAGCTAATAGCTTTATAGCCTAGTTTAATAGCTAAGAAAGTGATGTTTAAGAGGATGTGTAACGGTAGCAACAACCTTGCCTCAGACTGAGGGCACTTCAGTTCAGACAGGGGATAGAGGAGGACTGAACCCAGAGACAACTTTCCTGACATTAGCTGTAGAAGCCCTTAGAACACAAAGGCAATTCCTAAAATTTGGAAGTGCTGATGGCCAACTTTGGCCCTCAACAAGCTCAGGTTGGGGAATGCAGGCCTACTAATCTAAGGATAATAACGGTCCACATATCCATAGGTTCCCAAAGTGGATGATACTGTCCCCTGGGGGATGCTGGAACTATTGGAGGGGGTAGTAGCTTCAGCTGCAATTGGGGGTATTGAATAAAAAGAAGGAGGCAGTGGAAGCATAAGGAAAGATAAGAAAAATTTGAAAAACCATTTGCACAAGTTTCATCTGTTGTGTAACATAGTTAAAGTCATAGTGATTACATTACTTTCCAAATAAACACACAAAATGCAAGTTATAACCCCTCAGCGGTCAAGTCCGTTGACATGTCTTAACAAGTAAGTGTTGGCAGGCGACCTTGTTGGGCATTGTAGGAAGGCCCAGCATGCATCGGCAGGAATATGTGCATGTAATGACTTATTTACAATATCATACTATACAGTTACATGATACAATATTGCATCATCAAAATTTCAATGCAGGAAAAAAAACAAATTTACAATAAAATATTAAATTTAAGATTTTTTAAAAAAAATAATGAAATGACACAAATTTTAAAAAGAACATTAAAGACTTAAAGAAAGTAGATTTCCAGGGTGGGAGTGATGCTGAGTAATTTTTTTTTAAAGGGGGAAGTAGGTCAAATATGTTTGGGAACCTCTGACCCATATCATTAGGCAGCTCAGATATAGATGCTGAAAGGAGAGCGGTTGATTAAGAACCTCGAACCATTTGACCTGTGATCAGTTTAAGTTAGGATGTTGTAGGAGAAACAGAGGTAGTTATACATATAAGCAGATCACAATACTAATTTAGCTTGCCCATGTAATGTATACCTTACATGCAATTGCATGTTGATATGTTGATGTATGTGCTAATTATAACATTTCTGAATTATGTTTTATTTTCCTGTTTATTTCCTTGTGTTAGTGTCATGCACATACTATAGCTACAGGTATCTGTATATATCTTCAGCTATCTATCATATATAGATATATAGATTTATATTGTTTAGTTATTTACATACACACTAAGCTTATGTATGTATTGCTACTATATAGGTCTATTGATATTGTTGTCCCGAGTTGTACATTTTTCCACTGGTTATAATTAAAGTAATTAAGTTATGATTAATTATAAAGTACAAAGTTCAGAAATGTAATAATTAGCACATTATCAACAACAATTGCATGTAAGATTTTATATGGGCAAGCTAAGTTAATAAGTAAATAAAATCATTTGGTTATATGTATACTACTTCAGGATGGCTCTTAGACTGGCTAGAAATGAGAGAAAGAGAAAAGAGAGTTGATTCTGGCTGCAACCTAATATGTTGTTTTAGTGGCTATCCTAATTTCTATACTATTCTATACTATTTGACATTACCAATAAATTATATGGCCCATCATACAACTCTAGTTTCATCCAATTAGTTTGGAGGTGTGGGATTAAGAGGGGGAAGGCAACCAATGGATGAAAATGGGGCATAAGTCAACAATACAGAGTTTTCATTTTTTGGTAATTTCTATGTATATTCCAGGGCATACCCACTACACTTGCCTTGAGCATAGAAAGTCTACAATGCAACAAGTACTATATGCAATGATTGAGTTGTCAGGATCAATTATTATATATTAATATAGTTGAATTTTATGGTAATCATAAAAATGATTTTTAAAACAAATAAAGGTAGTATGCAGAAATGTATATGAAGTCATCCAGAGTGGGATTAGCAGAACCAGAACTGGATGTACATTTAATACAACAGTGTGGGATAAAAAAGCCAAAGAGGATTTCAGGTTGACTCGGGAAGGGAACATGGAACAAAAACACTTTTTGCTTGTTTGTTAATTCAGTCAATTTCTTTGGTTATATTGCTAAGCATTTTCTATTCTTTTATTGCTTATTTTGCTTATTTATTTGATTGTTTTGTTAATGGTTATTATTTTTAGTAAAAGTGTTTTTGTTTTTTTTTAATAGAGAGGCTAGACCTGACCACATGTGTCCTGAAGAAATCTGTGCTGGAAGTGATCCAATTTTACCAAGGATTAATTTTAAAGATATCACAAAAAGGAGATTTTAAAGACTAGCAAAGTTCACATGTGCTTACTGTTACCAAAAAAAAAAAAAGGTGACTGAGAAGACATCAGCTCCTGTCAACCCATATACTTATTTTTTTCTTTCTACAGTCTTTAAGAAAATTGTTTATGCATACCTTGACGGTACACACTTGATAAAAACATGAGGGAAAAGGCAGGTTCCACAAATGATTTTTACAGCTGATCATATCTTTATAGTTATGTAAACAAGAGGTGTACAAATCCTGTTTTTTGTTGATTTTTTAAAAAGCATTTAAGTAGAAAAAAGGGTTTTAAGATTCTCTTCAAACAAGGTATTTCCCATGAATGCTAAAATCATACATGAGATTCCAAACAAACTTTAAGGTATAAAACAGAAGACAGGTTTACCAAAGACGGTTGCCAGTGTTATGAGGATGTCCTGCACAGAATCCACACAGAATTGCCTATTTATGTGAGATTCTTCAAATGCTATTTGCAGATGACATGGTGGTAATTGCATTAACCTCAAGAACACTGCAGAGCCCCCTCAGTGAAATCCATAATTATTCATAAAAGATTTAGCCACCCACACTAAAAAGACAAGATGGATGAGAAGTATACATTGTCCAAATGGTAACATACTGTTGGTGGACAGACATTCCATGAGTTAGTCCATCAGCAGATAGATCTTGGCACACAGACACTATGGATAATGTGCTAGGTCATAGCTGAAAGGGACCTTAGAGGGAAGCCAAAATATTATCTGAAAGCCAAATGAATACTGTAGTTATTTGCGAGTCTTATGCATGTCACACATCTATATCACATACTGGGGGATAAGATCATATAATATTAAAACTCTCCAGTGGCTGAGCCCAGTTACTTCTACAGAGATGTGGTTCTATTTCTCTCATCTAACTATCTGACCTGTAGCCATGCCCCTAAATACTTTTATTATGAAACATTTTCATAATTGGAAACTATGTCTCAAGGGGAATTGGAAGAAATCATCTCACCAATACCTGTCTCTGCAGACAGGTCACTGAAGGTTCCAAGGTCAAAAGCCATTTCAGTCTTTTCCCAAGGTCTGTTGCTTCATACCCTATTGGACTCCTATTCCCTCCACCTACCAGCAGGACACTAAAAAATATCACTGGAGTTTCCAATATTACCTAATATTGTTCACAGGCTCAGGGTCCAAGACCAATCGGATCAAGCAAATACCTGACAAGGTGGAACTGCAAACTCATGTTCCATGCTGTATTTCTAGGATGTTTTTCTGTAAAGCAGGCAATTCTATTTTAAAACATTCCACATAAGACTTCAGGCAACTTCCTTTATAATAAAATGCCCTACACTGCCCAACATTTTTTTGGTACCCTCAGGATTGGAACCGCAGAGCTAAAAGGAAAAATTTGGCCAGACCGACATTTTTACTCACCTGTATACATGATGTTTTTACAAGTAGAATGTGAGCTCCTTGAGGACAAGAATTGCTTTCATTTAGTCTGAATCCTCAGCACTGGCACAGGGTGCTTAGTATGAGGTAGGGAGACCAAGGGCTACCTTGGTACCCTTTATATTTTAAAAATATTGTATTGTATTGATGCCATTTGTCTTTACATCTGTGATTTCAAACATTCCCTCTCCCAACAAACTCCTTCCCCAGTGACGAAATAAAACAAACAATACATCCTATACTGACCTTACCGGACAATGCATAATCAACACTCTTTCAGTTGTGCCTCACCATACCACGTAACGTATTTCATTTTCTGTACTCCTGGACCTCCACTAGGTGGAGATTAAAAGTACCAGAAAAAGGCCTTCAGTAAATCGTGTGGATTCTTTGTGAAGTATTTATGAAAGTATATGGTCAAGAAACACACAAGGAAGACAGGTGCTTTTATTGGCACCTTTGGAAAGAGTAACTATGCTGATGAGAACAAAGATCTAATTATTTTTATCCTATGGTGGTATCATTTTAATAAAATATATGTATCTTGCGGCCACTGGGGATGATGGTGATGCTTACAAAGAGCCAATGGCCATGAGGCCTGGAGGAACTAGCTGGTCAGTTAAACATTACTCACATACCTCTAGTCCCAAAAGTTGAGGAAAAGTGAGGCTTGGTACCGAAGGCTCAAGATAGTTACCACTTCCTTTACTCTTTGCTCATTCCAGCACCTCCTGGCAAGCCTCATCTCTTCCCACTACTCCAAGTAGCTTTCTTGACTTACACTCACCCTAACCTAGTTCTGATTGGGAAGACCTGGAGCTCCTCAGCATTATATTGTAGCAGGGGACAGAGAAGACAGATGCAATAAAATGTAAAGTAAACTTTATTATCCTTAAACCACAAAATAGATTTCTTTGGTTGTACAAATGTCACTAGTTACAGTCTTGATGCTAGCTTCCCTGGCGTGTGACACGCCCAGTACCAGGTGGTTTTTTTGGGGGGGGGTGAAGGGGGTGGTAAGGGAAGACACAAGTTAGTTACTGAAGCTGAGCCAGGGGGCTCCCAACAGTTTGAGTTAAAATGCTAAAACCGAGTTAGAAAAAACTCCCAAGGATGAGGGGAATGGGGAGGGGGAGCAAGGAACAATGATTTGCGATAAATGCCTGCCCCGCCACCACCCCCAATCAAAGGGAAACCAAAATCCCATTAAAATGATCCAGTTTCATGGGGATAGGAGGTCACCATTGATTCAGCTCAAAGGAATAGCCACAGCTGGGGGAGAAGGGAATCCAGAAGGGTCTGAGGCTGGGAGCTGAACCTGCTCATCCCTACCCCAGGGGGTCAAACATGGAGCCCAGACAAGGCAGCATCAACTGTGACCCTACCATTGGCTGGTTCCCTTACACACCAGATCAGACACTGAGGAAGGGGCCAGCACAGTGTGGCTGGTGTCAGGGTACAGACTTTTGCTCTCTCATTCCCCAGACACAATTTACAAACTTCCCAACATCTATAAGCTCCTTCGATGGGGATGGGGGAAGAAACTGTGCCCTGGGAGTCTAGGAAAGCATGGGATCTAGACCCTTTCCTTCCCCCTACTCCAGCTGAGTTTATGGGGCCAAGAGGTCCCCGCCACTCCCCTCAAACCTCTTGGGGTTTTAGGAGGGCACGGGTTCAGGTTCCTCTCCCCTTTTTGGAGGGCCTAAGAGGACACAGGGTCCAAGGCCCTCCCCTATTCCTTCTCCCCTTTAGGAGACTAGGAGGGCACAGGGTCCAGGCCACGTCGTTCATGCCGAAGTTTCCGACGGGTGCTGCAGAGAGTTACTTCCTCCAGGGCTGTAGGACTGGGTCCAGGGGGGCCCAGCAACACTTGCTCTACCTCTCCATCCTCTTCCTGGAGGCCTGAGAAGGAAGTGTGGGTCAAGGCAGGTCTGGGCAATCCCATGGCCTTTTGGGATTGTGGGGGGGGGGGTGGCAGGGAGAAGAATCCAATAGCATGAAGGATAATAGAATCAGTTTTTCCTCTTTCCTTCTATCCCCCAATCCCAGGGCTCACCAGGACTGAGGCTGTCTTCCAAGTATTTCAGCTCTTCTGGCAAATCTGGAGACTGAAATAAACAGTGATAAGGCAAGGCTGGAGAAGGAGCTAATAACGAGCTATGACTGAGTACTTCTATCTAGAAAAACTATTGTAGGTAGGCCCTCTTCATCATCAATACCACACTAAGGTCTTCAACCCAGTGTTCCAGACAATTATTTTGATTTCCAATATCCTCAAAATGTCCCACCTGAACCACTGGTCCTGTTCCATATCCTAATCTTTAAAAAGGGTGAGGACAGAAAAGAGAAAGGGCATGCTAGCTACCATTAGAACTTGTGTTCACTTTTGTCATCTCTCAGTCTAATGCAAAAGGAGAAAGGTGAGAATCAGAGGGAGGATAAGATGAAGTGAGAATGTGCTTGCCTTCTGGGAGTAGACTCTGAACCCTAGTCTCAAGGATGAGACTTTGAGGGTAGCACAGGGCTCAGGGAAGAGTTCACATGAACCAATAAACCACCCTCAAAAAAGTGGTGGACAAAGGTATCCAATGAATATCAGTCTTTGATAAGAGGAAAAGATGAAAAGGCCAGAAGGAATCACAAGGTTGTTCCAAAGTTGAATGGGCTCCTTAGAGGTGATGGGTTTCTTCTTCTTAGAGATCTTCAAGCAGATGCTGACAGTTTCAAGCATTTGGGCTTTGATCAGTTGGCAGCTATAGTCCCTCAAATTCGATGACTCTGTGACCTTTGAAGAGATGTAATAGGTTCCTTCCATAGAATGGGCTGGACTTTTAGCACAGTACATTTATAACTTCACAGAAGTTTAAGAGGGATTCACAGATGACACCAAGATCAAAACCATTTGCTACTGGACTCAGGAAGAAGTGTCATGGTGGTAGATGGCTGTCCACTGAGAGGTACAGAGGCAGCATGTGAAAATATGGGTAGACTGTTACTAATGTCTAATGGGTAGCCTTAAAAAAAAAAAAGCCCTGATCTTTTAACTTCTCTTCCAATATTCCTTTCTTTAGCATACTTTGAACATTAAGTCTCTTAATACCATTTTTCTTTCCAGGTCTAAATTCTCTCCCTCCAATTCCTCCTTCCTGTCCCCCCCAACCCCCCGCCCCCCTTCTCTGTCCCTGCATTAAGTAAGAAAATAAATACCTACATTGGCTAGGTTAAAAAAAAAAAGCTTCAATCTTCATGGAGTCCAACCTCTCTTGATCTGGAGGTTCTCTGTAATTATGGTTACTCATTGTGTTAAGGAGAGATCCTAAGACTTTCAAACTTGTTTGTCTTTACAATATTATTGTTGTTGCATAAATTGTTTTCCTTGTTCTGCTTACTTCACCTTGCATCAGTTTATGAGTCTTCCTGTTTTTTCTGAAAGCATCCCCTTCATCATCTCTTACAGCACATACCAATTTTAATATTCTGAATGCCTTTAAAAAATTGTACCACTTCCAGTACAAATGTTTTTTGTTTTATGTATGTGGTCAGGTCCACTGTATGTATGAAGTTAGGTTCTCCCTTCCCAATTTCATCTTATATCACTGCTACTTCCTCACAAACTAGCAGTGTAGTGGACAGGACTGGACCTCCTGGACCTGGAGTCAGAAAAACCTGAGTTCAAATCCATTCTTAGACTCTTATTAGCTTTGTGACTCAAGCAAGTCACTTAAGCTCTCCGCCTCATTTATCTGCAATAATAGCACCTAACATTCCAGAATTTTGGTGAAGATAAAAATAAGTCAATATTTGTAAAGCACTTTGCAAACCTGAAAGGGTTACATGCTGGTTATGATTATTATTGTTGTTATAGTACATAAAGCACTATAATGAAACAAAATGTGGTTACATGGTCATCATTGCTAAGAACAGATAATAATTAAAATGGGGATAAATGTGATCCTTTTCTAGTCTGTTGTCCTCTTCCCAGGTTCATCTAAAATGCTTCTAGGAGAACCTAGCTTAACTAGCTGATCTCTTTGAAAGCTTGTTTTTCCCTCAGGTTCTTTACTCTGTCTTGTCCAGTAATATTACTTGTCATCTTCTATTTTCTGCTATAATGTTTTGCAAATCAGCTATCATCTAAACCACTGGTGCGTATGACTGCCATGTCTTTCAGCTTGGTGTTTGTTGAAATGTTGGTTTGGTTTTTTTTTGCCTCCTTGTTGCTTTTGCCTTAGTCACACTTCTCTAATAAACTGTGGCATTCAGAGTTCAAGTTTACTTTTGTCACTTGCCCAGTTTTTGGAGTTGACACTTGTTTAAACAAGCGAGGCTGGAGCAATAATAACCTGAAGACACACGCACAGCTGGCTCAGAAATGACTTCCATGTGGTTAATGTTATTTCCTGTCCTTTAAGAGAATCTTGTGTGAGATGTAATTTTTGCTGCTTGTTTCCTCCAGTAACTTTTAACTCTTCTTAAAGAAAAGATTCATGATGTACAAATGAAAACCTTTTGATTAGTTAAGATTTTGATCACCTTCATTTCTTTTTTTTGGTGAGGCAATCGAGGTTAAGTGACTTGCCCAGTGTACACAGCTAGTTAAGTGTCAAGTGACTGAGACCACATTTGAACTCAGATCCTCCTCGTTCCAAGGCCGGAGATCTATCCACTGCATCACCGAGCTGCCCCTCACCTTCATTTCTTGATCTTGAATGGTATTTTCCAGTATTTTTTGCCATCCTCCCCATCCTTTTTTTTTTTTTTTTGCTAGGCAATGGGGTTTAGTGACTTGCCCAGGGTCACACAGCTAGTGAGTGTCAAGTGTCTGAGGCTAGATTTGAACTCAGGTTCTCCTGACTCCAGGGCTGGTGCTCTACCCACTGTGTCACCTAGCTGCCCCTCCCCCCATCTTTTTACTAAACACACCAAATTATCAATGTACTGACTATACTGAATACTCCATAAGTTTCTCAGAGAACTTCTGTACTTCACTGTCAAAACAGCTGTCACAAGTGGGTAACTCGGCTTGTCACACTTCTCGTGAACAAGCTAGCTGAACAAGTGTTCCATGTTTATTACTGCCAATCGGTTCACGATGAAAGCGGCTCTGCCAATTCACAGAAGCATCATGGTGGAAAAAGCGCTGGATCTGGAGTTAGAGGAGTGAAGTTCAAACTCTGACTGTCACTTCCTGAGCGACCTTGGACAAATTAGTTAACTTCTCTGGAACTCAGGCGCCTTATGAGAGGCTTATGCCTGATGGATATGAGTGTCCCTTTGAGCTCTAAATCTATGATCCCATGAATTCTTTTATTTCTCTTTCCAAGGAGAACCTTTGAGCTCCCTTTCCATTTAGCTGCAACTTCTTTGCCTTCTGATTTTAGCTACAGCAAGAATCTATATATGGGTGTGGTTTAGTTCTTTCAGTAATGTAATCTAAACATCTCACACAGAGTCCCAACAGTAGATGTCCTGAGAACTTTGATTCTTGCCAGCTTCTTTCCTTTTTCCACCACCCTACCATTAGCACATGGCATAAGCAGGGATGAGCAGGACTCGGGTCTTCTCTGTATTTACTGGTTTCCTTGGTCACCAAATAGCCACCCTGCTGCGGCTGAGCAGCTCCATACTAGGCTGGTCCACAGACAACAAACTTAAGTCTGTCACCAGAACCATGTTTAAAATTCTCTGGCTCTGGGGCAGCTAAGTGGCGCAGTGGCTAAAGCACTGCCCCTGGAGTCAGGAGGACCCGAGTTCAAATCCGGCCTCAGACCAAACACTTGACACTTACTAGCTGTGTGATCCGGGCAAATTACTTATTCTTGTTTGCCTCAGTTTCCTCCTCATGAGTTAAAATGAGCTGGAGAAGGAAATGGCAAACCACTCTAGTATCTTTGAATATAATGTAGACCAGAGAGAAGGCAGGTGCCCAATTCTTATTTTCGCTGCTTCTTCTCTACCAGGAGAATGAAATTAGTTTCAAGGTAAGTGAGGCGACAAGAAAAGCTCACCTAGATACTCTCAAGTTTAAGCTACTACTTCCTAGTGAATAACTACACTCATTGATAATGAAAGAATTTATAGGTAGAACTACTGAGTTGCTTTAAATAATTGTTGAAAATTTTTTTTAAGAAGAATGATAAATAGCTATTAAGTAGATATTCAAAAAGGAGGAAGCAGATTGATTTTTCAAACTATAAGCGGATGAAACCGACTTTAATTCCTGTCTCACAAGGCGAATGCAATGTTATGCAGCCTTAAGAGAACCAAAATAGAGCAGGGGAATGATAGAATGGAGGGCAGATTAGAGGAGGGGGTAAACAGAAGCAAACACTTCTGAGGAGGGACAAGGTCAAAAGAGAGAATAGAATAAACAGGGGGTGGGATAGGATGAAGGGAAATATAGTTAGCTTTTCACAACATGACTACTATGGAAGTACGTTGCATGACTACACATGTATAACCCATATCAACTTGGCAATGAGGGTGCGTGGGGAGGGAGGAAGGAAGAAAATTTGGAACCCAAAGTTTTAAAAACAAATGTTAAAAAATGTTTTCAAGGGGCAGCTAGGTGGCGCAGTGCATAGAGCACTGGCCCTGAAGTCAGGAGGACCTGAGTTCAAATTCGGCCTCAGACCAAACATTTGACACGTACTAGCTGTGTGACCTTGGGCAAGTCACTTAACCACGATTGCCTCACCCCCCCCAAAAAAAAGTTTTCACATGCAACTGGGAAATAAAATATACAGGCAATGGGATATAGAAATCTATCCTGTCCTACAGGAAAACAGAAGGGGAAGGGGATAAGAGAAAGTGGGGGTGATAGAAGGGAGGGCAGATTAGGGGAAGGAGTATTCAGAATGCACGTTGTCTTGGGGTGGGGGAAGGGGCAAGATGGGGAGAAAATTTGGAACTCAAAATCTTGTGGAAGTGAATGTTGAAAACTGAAAATAAATAAATTAATAACAAGAGAAGCAGAATAACTGGAATGAGGCAGGTGATAATACCACTGTACCTGTCTATGTCCTAGTCAGATCACATCTGGAGCTACTATAGGGGCTTAGGAAGCCTTAGGAAGGATATTGACAAACTGAAACATAGCCAGTGGGCAACCATGATGGAAAAAAGGAACTCAAAACTATGTCAAATGACGTTGGAGAAACAGTTATGTCTTATCTTGAGAAGCCTTGTTGGGGTTGGGGAAGGAAGGAGAAAAGGGAGAAATGATAGCTGTTTCTAGGAATTTGTAGAGCTTTTATGTGTCAGAGAGATTAGACTTATGGGGAGAACCAAGATCATTAGGTAAAAATTATAGGAAGGCAGATATTAGCTCAATATGACGAAGCAATTCCCCTAACAACTAGACCCACCCCACAGTGAAATGGGTGGCAAGTTCCCTGTTGAGATACTCGAACAAAACCTGGATGACCACTTGTCTGGGGTGTTATAGAGAAGATTCTTGCTCAAGTAAAGGTTGGACCTAGAAAAGGTAACTAGGCACTGGGAATAAAAATATAATGAACTGAAACAATCCCACAAAGGGATTGTGATAGGTTAGAGTACCTTGTAAAGAGAGTGAGAGGATAGATAGGGCTGCCTTTCTTCTAGGAAGTGTGCCCTGAATTCCAGGCTCAAATAGAAGTATAGTGGGCTTAGAGCACAAAACCAAGGCATAGGATATAGTTATTAGAGAACCAGAGGCCTAAAAATCACATTCAGATCCTGACATTCATTCTAGGAAGCAATTTTTCTGTGAAAATTTTTGTACCTTTCTTCCATTTGTTGCCTACACCCAACCTTGTAGGGGCGATGACTTGTTTCCCTATGTTTAAAAACAGTAACCCCTCTCAGTCCTCCCCCTCCCCTACCAGGGCTGTATGCAACCTCAGGGACAGGAGGGAAAGAGATACATAGAGAGATTATATTCAGTTCTGCAGGGGCCTGGAAGGAAGCCTGGGTGGCAGACTAGGTAGTGGAAGCTGGGATGGAACAGGTGGGGCGGCTTAGGGCTTATAAGTTTCTCTGACAGCTAATGTGGCAACAGTCTTGTGCTTAAGTTATGGGGAGCAGGAACAGAGACACTAGGGCAGAGCAAAGGGATGTGACAACTAAGAGTATCCTTGGGGAGGAAAAACAAACAGCAGTGTGTGGGAACAGGAGGGACAGACAAAAGCATAGTCAAAGAAGGGATGACAGACAAATCTGCTGGTACCTGGATGTCATACACAGGCCTGGAAGAAGGAAGAGCAGCAAATTCCCGGTAGTCAAACTTCTTTTCAGACAAGGACTTGAGGGGACAGCGACAGCGTGAAAGAGAGGAGGGAGGGGGGGAGTTGGGAGGGGGAGAGGAAAGAGAGACAGATATGAGAAAAAGGCTGCTCAAGGCCAAAATAGTTAGGGTTAGGAAAGTCACTGTTCTTACTACTGAACGAACTCTGATGACATGGTGTGGGACAGAGTGGGTCAGTGGGTGTACATGTATGTGGAGGGAGGGGTGGATGCAAATATTGTTTTGGCCCCATTGGAAGTTTTTCCTTGGATATTACCATCCCTCTAGACCACCTCCCTCCACCCCTGCACCCCAATAGAGATTATGTGTCTCAGACTAGGATTTCTGGGGATGATGTCATAACTTTGAAAACACGGACCTATACAGAAAAACAGAAAAAGTCATGGGAACGAGATAGGGAGGGGGGAAACAGTGGATATAGAAATAATAAACACAAGAGTGAAAAACATAAGAGGCAGCAATAGAAAGGCAAAAGATAAGGGGAGTGAGGAAGACAGAAAATGATATAAAGGGGAGGGGAATGTGGAGATATAAGGACAAGACTCATCCTTACCAGCCTGCCAGGGGAGGTGACGATCCTGGGGCTAAGATCTGAGGGAAGATAAGAAGAAAGATTAGTTAGTGCCCTTCAAATGGCTCTCCATTCTCTAGGGGACAGTGATTCATCGTCTCCCTCTTTTCCTCTCCCTGGGACAAACAACGCCTCCCTCTACACCCAGAAAGACTTATCTTTGACTCCTTATTTGGATTGCCAGTCAGTCCCATTTTTTAATGCTGTTGTCAATTCTCTGATTATTCCCAACCCCCAGCCCCAGACAATCCAAACCGACCACCTTCCCCACCCCTACCACCTTCAAGTGGCGTTGGTGAGGGAGTGGGTGCAGGTGAGGGGGCCTCTGTTAGCTGGCCAAGGGGGCTCCGTTTTCCCCTTCCTTCTTGAGATTTAGCGATGACCATCTGGGCTCGTAGGGCATCCTGTTCCAGGGACTTCATCCTGGAAAGAAAGAGTCAAGGAAGAGAGGGCAGACAAGAGTTAGGATTGGGCTTTTCCTTAACCCCAGCCCACTCAGGGCCATGGACAACAAAAGATCCAGTGGTGCTAGGGAGCCATGGCTTCTCCCCGTCCCATAGCCCCCATGGAGTACCCAAACCCTGGCCCAGAACCTAAGGCATGCAGCTGGGAGGCAGAGCCATGCACACCTTGGGGCAGGACTTCCTGGCCCAGCTCGGGGGGTAGGTCTGAGCGGAAGCCCCTGCTGGCGGGCCCGGTAGAGTCTACGGGCCAGGTCCTGCTCGTAGTCCCTAAGGCTGTCGTCCAAAGTTGCGGGTCTGGGGATCATGGGGATAGAGGGACAGAGACAGAGACAGAAAGCAAGTGAGAGACAGAGAATAGAAAACAATGCAACCAGGCCAGGGCCCTTTGGGTCAGTTAAGGACACAGTAAGATCACAGAAGTGGAAGGAAGATCAAAATAAAGCAAGCAGAAAATAGAACAGGGAGCAGAGGAACCCAATTTCCATGCCCTGCTCACAGCCACAGCCAATCACAGTCACTCATGTTGTTTTATACTGGCTTGGACTCTAGAATCTAGCTCCACATTTAGGAGTCAAAGAAGGTTTCAGCTTTAATAAAAATAAATTTAAAAGGCAGTATGTGACCAATGACAGGTTCTTAAACCTAAACTGGCAACCAAATAGGGTCACAAAATTCTGGAAAGATTTAAAAAGCTACAGACATCTGGGCATGGCACTTTTTGAGGCACACAGAGTGACCAGAAGTCCTTCCCTTCCCAGTGTTACCTCTCTTTCATGTACACTCTCAAGTCACCAACCCTGCCCCCAGGTAAGGAATGTTCTTCTTCCCTGAAGGAACACTGTGTATCTTTTGCCCTGGTAACAGCTCAGAGAAGAGCTAGAGTTGTATTTCTACAAGGGGCACATTGGGATATTGCAAATGTTCAGAATTATTAACGAGGCTATTAACATAAGGAGGCCCAGTGTCACAGATGGACAGTGAACCTCAGGTCAGGCAGGGAAGAAACAAGAGGTAGTGAGGAAGTATCCCAAGTCCCAGAAATGAGAAAGGAAACAGAACTAAACCAAGTTCCTAAACCAAGAGGAATAGCCAAGGACAGAACTATACTTGAACCCAAAACATTGCGGATTTAGAGGACAGGAGAAGAGACTGGATTGGCTCAGACCCAACGAGAGACAGAATTGTCACGACACATTAAGTGAAAGTTTACATAGAGACTGGGAGGGAAGAGAGAGCAAGGGGACAGGGATTCTTTGGGCCAGAGGTGAAATGAACCATCAAAAAATGGGGATACTGAAAGAAGGGAATGCAGTATCAGAGTGATTTGGTCCTGAAGCTGGGAAGAGTGGGAACTGGGACCCAACAAAAACAGTCAGAAACACTTCTGAGGGCAATGAGGATAGAAGATGATCAAGAACGTCTGGGTAATTCTGCTTTATAATTGTAATAAGCTATGCTGTCCACATTCCGTACTCTGAAATGCCTCAACCATTGGCACAATCGCTGGTGCGCTGGAGACACTGGGCCAGAGGGCACAAGGCTATAGCTACGGTCTAATACTGAGAAGTGACCAGAAGCTACATTTCTGAGGTCTGACCCTTAGGGCAGAGACAGAATTAGATTTAGAGCCCCAGAAACCCAATAGTGTGCTTGGTACCCTACAATAATCTCTCTTGGTCAATCTCATCTCCCAATCTAAGGCTAACTCCTACAATATCACACCACTGACAATCACCCCCAGGCTTCAGTACACTCTTCCAATAGCCATATTCTTCAAGAGTCATGCACATCTCAATCACGCTCCAACTCAAGTATTTCTGAACATTGTCACTCAATAACCGCATCCTTCCACATTCATGTTCTCTGCTACACGCGCACACTCCGGACATCACGAATCACACATATACAATAAGGCATGTCCCCCATTGTTCATTCAAGCATTAAGTGTGCTTATGCCTGCAGAACCACACAGCCATAGCCATCACGCCTCTCCTACAGCCCCACACCCAGTAATACTCTCCTGAAGTCACTCCATTTCAGCCCTTTTTTTGGTCCACATTTGTGACTGCATTGATACAGGAAAATCCTGATGAGGAAATTGTTTTAACAAAGCAGAATGACAACTATTCTGAAATAAACAGCCACAGGGAATTGCAGTGACTCGCCCAGGGTCACACAGCCTGCCAGAAGCAGGACTTGAACCCAGGTCTTCCTTATTCTAAGGTCAGCTTTTCATGCACATTACCATGCTCTCAGCTCAATTATTATATATCCAAGTAGCTGAGTGCTGAAACAAGCCATCTCTTATATTCAAAGCACCTATCATTCCTCCCAGTCCTAAGCTAAGCTTAACCTAATGTGGTGCTAATCAAAGGAATTCCTTCTGACCTGCTGGCATCCTAACCAGCAGAATAAGGCTAACCAAGCAGCAAAGCCAGCAGAGACCAGCTTTCTTTTTCCCCTCGGGGTCAAGTTCCCTTGAGGTACCATGGGGGAGGGGTGGGACTATACAGGAATCTGGAAGGGGGTCAGGCACCTGGCTGCCCGCCAGAGTGCCCTCTTCTCTGCCTCCAGAGCTCGTCGTTCAGCTGGGGATAGCTCCCGTTCAGGCCCACTCAGGAGTTCTGGACTCTGCATGCGCAACCGTTCCTGCTGCCGTCGCTCAGCCTTAGCTGTCCGGACTGGGGCGCCCAATTCCCCGCCCCCCAATGACATGGGGCTCAGCCTGTAGGTGACACAAGGATCTACCTGAAGAACACTCAATGCCAAAAAGGCAGCAAGAAAGTTGATACCATTCCCCAACTTCTAGGCTCTTAGTATAAAACAGATGCCCCAAACCTGGGCCCCAGATCCTTCCTGAGCCCATCCCCTAACTTTCTTCCCCGCTCTAGAACCTTCTATAGCCCTGCTTACCTAGTTGGGCAGTTGGGCCGTGGCTCTTGTTGGGAACCTTCTTCCAGTGAGTTCCTCTGGGAATTGGGGGGCTCAGTTTGAGGGAGGCTGGAAGGGTAAAGGAGCACAATCTGTTACTACAGCTCAAGTTGTCTGTAAGTTCTTTTCTTGTTGCTTGTGGATAATGGTGAAGTCTCAAAGCATTAAACCTCTAGCAGAAGTCAATGAGCCACCTCTTGCCCTGGGCTGATCTGCCAGTGGTTGTGATAATCTACAAAGAATCTTTCAACTCCCAAAAGCATACCCCCTAGACATCCTCTCTGGTATGCACAGACGATAGTCCAACCTGAATTGTGACTGAAGCCCCTCATCTTGAACAAGGCATATGTAATTCCCTCAAACAAGGATCAGAGAATATAGGTCCCTCACCACACTTCCTCCCAGCCATAAAAAGAGGGTTTCGCCAAACATGAAGAGTCCCAACCAAAGAAGCCTCAGATTGCAAGACAACTAGCAGGGAATGGTGAGATGGGCGGCCTACTTTGGATTTTATGGGTTTGAGTCATCCTGCCAAACCCTAACTACCATGTCAGTGTCTACTGGACTGATTTATTCCACAGGTGAAAGCCCTGGGCTCTCACCAGCTCTTTTGTTCTCCCAGGGACTCCAGACCCTCCACTTGGGCAGGGGCAGGGGCAGTTGCTACAACTTCCTCTGCCTCCTCTTCTTCCTCTTCCTGAAGAAGTAGGGCCCGTTTCTGCTGTAGCTTCCGCGCTAGGGTGGAGGCAAAGAAGAGAATGACAAAAATCTTCAGTGGACACTTCTAGACTACCTCCCACTCCAACCAATCCCCAAAATTAGACTTTATCCCAACTCCTTCCTCTCAATTTCTTCTCCTACCTTCTTCTTCTTTCATTTTCTTCAGGTCATCCTCACCAACCAGGGATACCCTCTTTGGTGGACCATCAGCCTGGGGAGGCCTCACCTCCAGCTCAAAGTATTTCTGTCTCTCACGGAAAGACAACTGTTCTGGGCTGGCAGCACTACCAGGAGATACCACCTGGGGAGAGGGGAAGAAGAATCCGATTCCAGCCACTACAGCACCCATTTAAATCCTCATCTCTCACCCATACCTTCCTCGCTCACCACCTCTCCATCTGCCCCCTCACCTCTGGGCAAACTTGGAGCCACTCTGGGCCTGGCTGCTTGTGCAGCTCCTATTGGGAAAACCAGGTGGAGGGGAGGTGGGGAGTCAGTGGGAAGGGGTGCCCAATGAAAACTGGAAATAATTGGCTACTTGGGTGGGATTAGGAAGCTTTAAAGAGAGGGCAGAGGTAAAACTAGACTTAGTTCTGGAAGTTCCCCAAGGGTCAGGCCATACCTGAGCCTCTGTCAGAGGGTGAGGGGGGGGCACAGCTGCGAAAGTCCTGTAGGCCTGCTTAACATTGACAGGGAATTTACTGGGGGAGGGTGGGGATGGAGGATAGGTACGAGGCTGTGGAGGACAGAAGGACAGAAGGAGAAAGGAACAGGCAAAATTGAACAGGGGTAAGGAAAAAGAAGAAAAAGGAAGCAGGTAATAAAAAGGAATATAGGAGTAGGAAGGGAAAGAGAAGGCAGAGGAAGAAAAAGACAGGATGAATAATAGGGTCATGAAAAATTGTTTCCTGAGCCCAAATCCATAGCCTGATTGAAGATTTCTATGATGCCTCTCTCCATGCCCCCTGTAAGTCATTCCCACAACACCTTACCCTCTCCAGCAAATCTCATCTCCAGCTGCGTTGTCCTTAGAAAAACGACTCCTCTGATCAGGCCCTGTCTCTACTCCCAGTTTCCTCTATTTTCCAAACATTCCTAGTTAAAGCTCTAATCCTTTCTTCAAATCATGTTCTCCTCCTCTCTCTCCCCACCACCTTCCAACCCAGAACCAAATTCCCAAGGCAAATGTCGAGTTCTTCATGCATCTATGCTAAACGGGGGTAGGGAATGGAGAGGAAAACCTTCCTCCCTCAGCATGATGTCTCCCATCCCCGACTGGTAGTGGGGGAAACTTACGGAGCTGGGGCTGTAGGCCCGGGGCAAGGGTGAAGACTGGAAGGGGTTAGGGCTGTCTCTACCGCCAGATGCAGTGGATCCCACTGGCCAAGGCCGAGGTTGGATTACCCCAGGTTTAGTCTGTATGGGTGGTAGTGAGGAAGAAAAGAGACACGGAGGGAGAAAAGAAAGGAGGGAGAAAGAGAAGTTGGAGTGAAAAGGAAAGGCTAGAAAGAGCAGGAGAGTATATGGTGGTGGGACACGATTTGAGCGACAGAAGAATGTAATATAGGAAGAAAGTGGGGAGAAAGGGAATAGGAGAAGTTGGAGAAACAGTGAGGAGCTGTCGAAGGCAACCCCAAAGCCTAGGGGCAGGGCAGAGGGCGGAAAGGACACTCACAGATTTGTGCTCCTCCTGGGAGGGCAGGAAGCTGATGGAGGCCTGAAACAAAGATAGAATTGGTAGGCTTCTCCTCCTTCAACGTGCCCCCCGCCCCAAGCTAGCAGCCAAAAGTGCAGCCAGCTTGCTCCCTTTCAGCTGTACCCTGTACCCACTGGGCAAAGTTAGGGTGGGGAATCCCAAGTCACATCTTCCTTGCCCTCCCCACAGCTCCACTAATAAAGGGGCTGGAAAGGGATCATATTAGGCTCAGAAGGGAGGCCCTGGCCTACCCCAAGACCTCAGGGGCCAAGCCCCAAAGCACATGCCTTGCTAGTAGCTCTTCCCAATCAAGTGCCAGAAGGAGAAAGAGGAAGACACACAGACAGAGGCAGGGACAGAGAGGCACTGGAGACCATGTGGCAGAGGGAAGGCCAAGCAGAAGGAGCTGCAGCACATGAGACACTTACAAAGCGGGTCTCCCTGCCCACCAGGTGGAAGGGTCGGGGGGAGGCAGGTGGCTGAGGGCACCAGAAACAGGTACAGAGGGATCCATGGGAGAGAGAGAAGAGATCAGAGGGGCTCCTCCCTATGAATCACAGGGTCCCAACTAAGAGAGGCCAGAAGGTATAGAGCTATTTGGGAATTGTCTAACTGATCCTTGCTACTACCTGTTCAAGGTAGATCTTCAAGACTAATCTCAACTCAGTCTTTCTTAGGCTCTGCCTCCCAATGGCTCAGCTTCACTCCCACCCTCCAGACCACCAGAACAACTCCCTCAAGACAATCCCACTGGTTCATCTCTCATAGGGGCACTTGGGGACTAGCTATAGAGGCCACAAGTGGCTTCCCTGTTACCTTAGATTAGGGGCACTCCCAAACACCCTTATTTCCCTTCAGAACCTGCTAAGGAGCTATGAAAATTTTGTTGCCCTCTCAAGAGAGCAGCCTGAACATGGCCATCAAGGACTCACCCTGAGGAAGATGAGAAATGTAAGAAGGATTAGGAGAAAAAGGCATACCCATGAAGCCAGAGCCCAGGAAAAGGCTTGAAGGGCTTAGCGGGATAGGAATAAATGCTTAGGGTCTGGCTTAACTGCCAATACGGGTCCTAAGTCTTGGGTTTTGGTAAGCAAGTGCGTATTTCCCTTAGAACTACTCTCTGAAGGGACCAGAGGTTACTTAATCCAACTTCCTATCCACGGCAGAATACATTCCTGGCAGGTACTGAGCTAGTCTTCACTTGAAAAACTCCAGTGACTGGGAGTTCATGACCCCACAAGGCAGTCCATTCTATTTCTGCTCTAAATGTAACAAGTTGTTCCTTATGTCAAACCAATCTCTACTTCTCAGGCACCTTCTGCCCTTGTTCTTAGTTCTCCAGGAAGCAGCCTCTTTATGGTTTTATTACTGTTAATTATATTCCCTCCTCTCAGTTTGGGTCCTCCTCCCTGAATGAGGAAGCCTAATCTTTTTAGTTCATCTTCATAAGACAAAACCAGTTCAACCAAGAGGATTCATGCTTTGGATAAGGTTTGGACTACAGAACATCTGAGGTCTCTGACTTTATCATTGGGGTTATGTAAACTGCCCCTTTCCCACTGTTTTGTCTCTAGTTAGGTATGGTAGCCAGACTAGCAACCCACACTCCAGGGAAGAAATTTTTAAGTCTGGTCTCAGTCCCTTCCTGAGAAGGCCTAGCTCTTTGCTGGCCATTTGGACCCATAAGCCCATGTGCCAATGTCTCTAATGATTCTCAGGTTCCTACATAACTAAAGTTTAATAACTCATCCTCAAATGTATCACTTTACACTAGCTGTCTTGCCTCTCTCCGACCTCCTTATGACAGTTCTCACTACCATCTGTCCCACTATCCATGAGTTCATAGCCATCTGTACCCATGGAGGCCTTGATGTGTACTACTTCTCCCCAATCATTTATAAAAATGCTAAGAGAGACCAATCCTCACAGTAATCCTGAGACACCCATCCTACTGCTCACAATTATCCATCCAAAGATGTTCCCATTCACTCCTAGACTTTGCTTCTTTAGGGAAGGCTCTGTGACAGATAGTATATCCCCTACTCCTGGTGCCATGATGTTCACCTTTGATGTAGAATTCCATCAAAGGCTTTTGGAAAGTCTGTATGGATTATAGCCACTGGTTCCTGTCTTGTTCATGTAACTTTTTAGCTTCAAGAGAGTGCTAAGAGATCAGTCAGGAAAAGACATCTGTGCCCCTTTGGCAAGGCCATCTGTAAGGACAGGTTCCATATTTTGGCTGGTGGTTCCATAGTTTCATCCCTGAGTTTTTTGGTTTTTTTTTCCAAATTTCTGACACTGGTGTCACACAGTTGAGGGAATTTATTTAAGTTATATAGCTAAGTTAGATCTGGAATGAACCATGCCCTTAGAAATGGTTGACATGAAACATGACCTAGGTGTTCACAAGGGGGTGCAGGAAACTCTCTGACATCATCTTCACTAAAGTCAAACACAAAAATTTCAGTCATGCCATCCCTTTCTAATTCCTAAGCCCACCTTGGGCAAAGGGTCAGTACTAAGGGGTCTATTCCACAGATTTTCTAACTGACTTCCTCCTTTTTCCAGCTAATACTATAAAAAGTCTCCTTTTACTGGTTTTGGAGTTGCTTGTAAAGTCCTCCTCACACTTGCTGGCTTGATCTGCCCTAGCCTACTTAATTTAAGTTATCCTTTCCTAATCCATCCTCTGAGAGACTCCTTCTCAACTTATTCTCTTCACTTGGATAATAATGACATTCTATGAAGTGAACTTTTCTTCAGGTGGTCTCTGACTTTGCCAGTAGGTGTGTTCTTCCCTGGCCTAGTCTCTACATAGACGTCTATCCTCAAGCTACCCGAGTAAGGTCTTTATAAATGGCCTCCTCCCATCTACCCAAGGTCATAGCCTCATGGGCCCTATTTATATACTTCGCTCTGCCCCTGTCTCCCCTATGGCTGTTATTGGTCTGACCCCTTTCAGCCACAAGGGTGGGTGTGATGTTAATTGCTTTACCTAAGGCAGTGTCAATGAATGGATTTCTTTTAGCCTGAGGCTTGACCTCAAGAACCACTTTGGCTTCTGACATTCCTCTCTACAGACAAGGTCATAGCATATCCTCCCTACAGTCAGTCATCTTTAAGGACAAAAAGCTGGTCCTTTATTGAACGCTTGGTCCTTGTGCCTTTCCCGAATTATCCTTACCATTACTTTCTACAGTCAAAGATTATTAGTTTCTGATCCCTAATGGGCTATACAAAGATTATTTTTTAATATGATAATTATTAAAGGCACAACTCAAGATACTTTTCTTCTATTAAGCCTTGCCTGATTAATCTCAAAGTAGATTTCCCACTTATTCTGAATGGTTCATTGTAGTATAGGGGAAAGAGGCCTGAGAGTAGGTTTCAACTCTCCTACTTAATGACTTGTGTAAAGCTTAGGCTTCAACGCTATTCTCTAAGTGTCAGTTTCTCTCATCTGTAATACTTGTGCTACCTACTTGTGCTGGGAAATGTTTAACAAATGACTCTCTGGGGAAAAATTGTAGGCAGGGCACACTTTTAGATTTAATCTGCATTATTAAAAATTTTATGTCTTGATGATCAACAAAACAATAAATCAAGTCCCAATTTGTAACACTTTGCTATTTCCCAGATATAAATACTCATAATGAAAGTTTAACATGCCTCAGGTGACTCAGGAGAAGTTGGCTCTAGCACACCCCTGACTACCTAACTACCTGAGACACAGTGAGGATTGAATGACTTAATGGCTATCCAGTAAAGCACCATAGAATATAAACTTCAACTACTTGTTCTTTTCATTCACTGACTTGTGGCCTTCAAACATCCCCTAGTGGTTCTCTACCTCACTGGCTCACAAAATTACACCTTGTTCATAATCTATGATTCTCTCTCCCTCTTTTTTTCAAGGCAATTGGGGTTAAGTGACTTGCCCAGGGTCACACAGCTAGTAAGTGTCAAGTGTCTGGTCTGAGACCAGATTTGAACTCGGGTCCTCCTGACTCCAGGGCCAGTGCTCCATCCATTTCGTCACCTAGCTGCCCTAAAATCTATGACTCTCAAATTGCACTCTTTTTTGTTATTTTGCCTTTCTGTTTTATTCACATGTATTTTCTCTTTGTCCTTATGACCTGTGGTCCCCTTGACCTATTCTCCCAGTCCATCTATCTCCCCCACTCTGACTTTACACTCCTTGATCCCATGGATCAATCACTTTAAAGATTCACTAGCCAGCACTTTAGAACCTTTGCTCAGAAGATCTTCTACTGCCCCTACATATAAACCCCTTGCTAATCCTCCGTCATTCAGTTTCTCCCTCCTTCTGGACTGTCACACTAAAGAAAGTTACAAAATTTACCTGATTTCGTTCATTACAAATTTATGTTGTATATCCTCAGTGGGGTCACTGCTGCTTGACAATCTTTTTACTTGACAATCTCACTGATGAAAACCTCACCCCCATAGTGGCTATTACTAATCTTACCTTCTCAGCTCCACTTGTGCCCTGATTCTGTCAGACCTAACCCCTCCATCATCCTCTCCTCCACCAATGCATGTGCAAATAATGACATGCTCCTTTTCTGGAAGGCAGAGGTCTTAAGAGGTCTACAGCCCCTCCCTAAATGCTCAAAAAAGCAGCATCTACTCTTACCTGCTTTTCATCTCATCAAAGAAAAGGAAAGATACCTCCTTGTCATTAAGGCTAATGTCTCTACTTGTGTCCTTGATTCTACTCCCTCCTGGCTCTTCCAGCATCTTGCTTCAACATGCACTCTCTCTCTCAAGGGTAGTATTCAATCCCTCCCTCTCCAATGACTCTTTCCCATTCTCTGGCACATATATTCTGGCCTCTCTAGTTCAAAAGAGCCATTCATTCTTTTACCCTTTGTAAAATCAGAGAATCACCCTTGGATTCCACCAAACTGCCATTTCACTTGTCTCTTCTTCACAACTAAAACTTCTGGAAAGTTCTACCTTTGTCATCCCACCTGCTCAATCTCATGCTCTCCTGTTTT